CCCCAAAACCCCAAAACCCCAAAACCCCTCTTTTAGTGTTCATAATTGAATTTAGTCTGGGCTACTGTTTATAAATATTTACACTAGCATAGATCTTCTGGAGTATCTCTAATAATGTTTCCATGAGTCAAATTCATGCTTATTCCTCATTGGATCTTAGGGAGATAAAACGTACAAACCCTAATTAGGTTGGAAAATGTCAAAAGAAAGGCTATTTTTGAATAAAGTTATCAAAATTAAGCTTAAGATTCTCAGCTTCTATATGAAAGTCTTGTGATCTTGATTTGGCATGGGACTTGACCCACTTCTGTAATTCAATACAAGTCTTCTTCATGGTTTTTATTCTCTCTAAAGTATTTTTATATAAAATACCTAAACTCGGATTTTCACAGCTAAGGTTTATCAGCTTAGCCATTGGAGTATTTTTAGGCTTGCGAGAGTACGTGAAGATATTATCTAACTTCAGGCCTTTCAAAGGTGCAATTTTTAATTTGCTAAAAGTAAAAATAACCCTACTTAGTACAGTCTACCTCCATGCTACGTCGCTTGTGTCCGAAGTTGTGTAAACCTTTCTTTGGGCTTGCTATTCCTGAATTTATAATTAGAGATTATCATGAAGCTTAATGATCTTCACAATTAGGATTGCAAAGGCAATACGATAATTCATAATGATTAAATTAAAAAAATTTCCAAAAACCTAAATAAATGAAACTAGCTTACTCTCCAAGGTTGAGGGTTTGATGCCAATGGAGCTTTTATTTCCCTAAAATAGTATTCTAATTATCCTACTTCTTTTAATTGCCTTGCTGAGGGAATTTGTGCTTGATTTGTGTTCACTAACCTTGAAGGCTACAATCTTAGCTAAATATTTACTATTAAAGGTGATATTGATTCCATGCTCATTATCTCTTGGTTGGCTTCTTCTTTATGGTTAAAAGCTCAGTACCTATTTATTGCCCGCTTTGAGTCTAATTTTATCAATAGTTTCTTACTGAATAGTTTTAGAAAGAATGTCTTGAAACTTTTCTTCAATCTTGTGTCTTCTTCTTGACCTTGATTGGTTTTGTAACCTCACACCTTTGAGTCTATTTAAGAAAATAGGGTTTCTCCATTATTGAGGTGTAAATTTTCGTCCAATGAGATTGAGGTTTTAAGCATTTTCTATTTCTGTGATAATGTAAATGATTACTCTTCATTAATAGTTGCTTGATTTGCTTCTTCATCCTCGTACTCTAGATAGTCTTTTAGTTGGAATGTTTCATTGTAAGGAAGGAAGATATCTTCCCTATCGTAGTCCTCTATAATCCTTTTGGTTGAAATTTGATTAGCCTTTTTAGCAAAAATTGCTCTATTTTCCTCTTGCTGAAGGCTTTCTGCTTCTGTTTGTGAAGTAAATTTCTAAATTACCTGACTATTGAGGGATCAAATTTGAATACTTTGAGTCGGCTACTCTTCTTAGAAGTTTTTGTTGGATCTAACACCATTAATATAAGCCATGTAAATACCTTTCTGTTTTTTTAAACTAGAGCTGAGATACTTCAGTCCCACAAAGTTTAGTTTATTGTCTCTATATAATGTATTCATCTCTTCCTTTTACCTTGCAGTGGTCTGCCTGAGTCTATAAGTTCTAGTTTGAACTTTATTCCCCGTTACAATGGATGCTGACGACTTTTTAATAGCTTTCATATGTATGACTGACTGTGGAATATAAATAATTTTAATTAAAGGGGTTTTGGGGTTTTGGGGTTTTGGGGTTTTGGGG